TTCATTTGTAAAACTAGGGATTTGGATTAAAGTGATCCAATTCTAATAGTCTTGTAAGGCCAGAAAAAGGAAATGTTTTTCCTTGTTGGGATATCCTATATAATAAAAGTCTAACATGCAATCTTTCCCCTCCACCGGAGTTCAACTGCTCGCTATGACGTGTGCTGACCACCAGGGGGTGGCGAGGAACAGGGCAGATGTCGGCTACACCATGCGACCTCTTGGTGGTTACCTGGGGGCGGGGGTGATGGGGACAGAGGTTCAGTGAGAATGTGGTGGGACAACGACCTCACTCTAACTCCCCCTGCTAACCTCCCCCGCGTTCAGGTGCCAGGCGCCCGCGAGGAGCCTGCCCTGCACCCGTGTGGTGCAGCGTCTTCTGGGTGAGCTGGGCCACAGCTGCTGGGACCACAGGGACAGGTCAGGCTTCCTGTGGGTTCACACAGGAACCGGTCTGTGAGGCCGGCCGGGTTCCGTGCGGTGCCACTGGGTGGCCCACAGGCTCACACTGTGCCCTGGCCCCGCGGTGTCTTGCCGCGCTCACCACATCTCTACATGGGGACTCGGGTGGTATGACTCAGGTGGAGGGGGGAGGCCCGGGGGCCCTGGTGCTGCCCAGGGCCCAGAGGTCAGCTGGGACCTGCCCTTCCACACCAGACACTCGCCTTCTATGACTGACCAGGCCTAGGGACCACACCTGTGCATGAATTTCATGCACTGCGCCTCTAGTTTAAATAGATGAAACCAGTCTGGTATTAGCCTTCCTTTTTTTTTTTTTTGGTAACATTTTGTAATACAATTTTGTACTTATAGAACTGTTGAAGTAATATGACAGGCCTTGGCCTGGTAACTCAGTTGGTTAGAGCATCAGCCTGATATACCAAGGTTGTGGGTTTGATCTATGGTCAGGGCACATACAGGAATCAATCAATGAATGCATAAATAAGTGGAACAACAAATTGATGTATCTCTCTCCCTCTTTCTCTAAAAACATCAATTAAAAAAAAAGAGAATATGAAAGAAAGTCCTTTATACCTTTTATCTAATTTCAGCAGTTTTTAACATTTTGTTGCATTTGCTTAATTATTCTTTGTATATGTATATATACATATATACTTATAAATATACATTTTCTTATTCTGAATCATTTGAAAGTAAATTAGAAAGATTGTACTCTTACCACAAAATATTTACTTGTATATTTACTAAGAACAAGGGTAATATCTTATTTAACCAAAGTCAAGTTATCAAAATTAGGAAATTTAACATCGATACAGTGCTATTATCTAGTCCAGAGTCCATATTTAAATTGTCCATTGTCCTTAGAATATACAAAAGTAGTTTCAGAACTAAGCTATACCATTGTGGAAGGCCACTCTATACAACTGGAGTTTAGTATTTACTTACAGGTTTTGGGGGGTGGGGGGAACCTGCTCTTCGCTGTCTGCCCTGCCTGGATCCTCCTGGAGCAGAAGCTTGGGGTGGGAGATGGTGGGAACTTCTGTTACCACTCAGTACAAAGGCTAGCAAGATGGGATCTGTGGACACACTGGTTGCCAAAAAAATTTTTTTTGAAATTCTAAAATACCTGAACAGCTTTAGGAAACTGGGAGTTGTGGGAGCTACCACTCAGCCACTGAACTCAGTGGAATAGATCTTCTATACTACAGAGCTGTAAGAAAATGGGGGGCTGCACTGGCATTAGCTGTTCCCCCATTCATTAGCTGTTCAGCCGGATCCTCTGTACAGAGGAGAAACGGGGTGAGAGAAATGGTACCACTTTAAGGCTGCCAAGCCCTCAGAATTAGTTCTTCACACAAAGTTGTGGGGGGATGACTATATTAGCTATTCGGATGTGATACTTCCAACTGTTCTTGCTGAATTCCACAGATTCCATCTCCAGAGACATGGATAATTTGACTAGTTTAATTGATGTTTCTCTGGGAGGGAGGTTCTGCCTAACTCTTCATACCACCGTTTCTAACATATTATATAGTTAAAAATTCAAACGCTACAAAAGAAATGAGGTGAAAAGTAAGTCTTCCTCTCCTAAACATGTCCCAGGTCTGATTCCTAAAGGCAATGACTACTACCAGTTTCTTATTCAAACATAAAGAAATGTACACTTATATGACCTAGTCTTAATTTTTAAACCTGAAATTTCAAGATCTTGAGCTGCTGCAGAAAGCATCTTCCGTTTTTGAGCATGTGACTTGCTGACTCTTGTTATATTCAAAGTGTGTATTGCCTTTCCAGCTGCTTTCTAAGAGCATTTATAGTCTTTAAAGGTTAACACGTTGAGCACCCAGTCAGTTACGGGTGACTGACACTATACTTTCCGTCCGGAAGACAAAACAGGCTGGGTGCCTAACGTGTTAAGCAACCCTTTCTGGCTTGGTTCTTAGTCATCATAGATTACCTAATTTAATTTATTACATATCTATTGGTAAAACTGGCTAGTTTTCTTAGATCTAACATTGAATAAAGATTTTAAATATCAAAATGAGGATATTGTCAACATTTTTAGTAACCTTTTTTTTTGCTGTAGTAAACTGTATTACAGTGTCTGCTATTATATATACAGTGGGGCCTTGACTTACGAGTTTAATTCGTTCCAAGACCGAGCTCGTTAAGGAGCTCATTAACTCAAATTACTCTGTGTCAACTCAATGCAAAAAATCGGCGGAGAGTTAGCTGGTATCTCAAAAAACTGGTTAGTCGGGACACTCGTAAGTTGAGGCCCCACTGTATTGCTTTAGAAATCAGACAGTGGAGAGAGGGCTTTTAGGTGGTGAATAGCTTATTGGTGGTAAACAACTTAGCCTTAAAATAGAACAAATTTAAAATAACATTGGGTTGGTTTTAAAGTTTTTATTTTAATTGTGATATTTTTAGAAATAAAGGGTACTTTATTTGTATGTGATACTTACAGCCTTATTTCCCCACTTCATCTCTGAGGATTGTTGTTGAAACCCTTTCAGTGTAATAGTTTTGTTTTCTGATTTATAGCTATATACAAAATATTGAATTATCTTCCCAAAGGGAGTTTTGCTGATACAGCCTTGTTTTGCTGCTTTAGCTTTTTATTTATAGTTTTTGCCTCAATAGCATCTACCTATTTGCATGAGATAAAACTGATCATAGAATTTCATCTGGGGAAAGATAATAAATTAAAGAAAATGACAAGTCTACTGGTTAAGTAAAGATGGATAGTCAAACTTTTGTGTAGTAGGAGGATACACTTGCTAGACTGTACAAGCTGTGTGTGATACGGACTCTAACTACTATGTCCTCTCTCCTATTGTCTCTAGCTGCTTTCTTCAGTTGCTCCCTAGGTAACAGGCAGAAACTACATAAAGCCTGGGATGGAAGACTTTATTTATATATATATTTATATTTGTTGTTGTTAATCCTCACCCGAGGATATTTTTTCCATTGATTTTTAGAGAGAGTGGAAGGGAGGAGGGATGTTGGAGAGAGAGACAGAGAGACAAAGATAGAGATAGATAGGGAGAGAGAGAGAGAGAGAGAGAGAGAGAGAGAGAGAGAGAGAGAACATCTATGTGAGAGAGACACATCAATTGGTTGCCTCCTGCACGTGCCCTGACCAGTGATCCAACCTGAGATCCTTTGGTATGTAGGCCGGTGCTCTAACCACTGAGAACACTGCCAGGGCAGGATGGAAGACTTTATATCTTCTGGAGCATTTTCTTTAGTCAGATTACTTTCCTCCTAATACCAGGAACTGCTGCTATGGAGATTCATAGTGTAGTCTATACAAGTGCTGCTTCCTAGAAGCAGGCAACATGGTGCTTCTGGTAAATGTAGCTGTGATGGGTGTACTGAAGGAATAGGACTTGTGGTATGATGTGGTACAATGAAGGAAGGATCCTTGGGAAATCTGAGAAATAGAACTCTGAAGGAAAATTACCCTGTGTGAAGTGTTATGTGGGGAACTTGGGCCGTGATAGAGCACATCAGTCCCGAGTGCGATCCAGTTAGTCAATAACAGATAAGTCTCAAAAATGAAATATTGAGCAAAAGAAACAAGACACATAAAGTATATTTATACAAAGTTTAAAAACAGGCCAAAACCTTCTTTGGGGTTAGAAGTTAGGACATGTTACCTTTGTGGAGGGGTACAGGTTGTTATTAGAAAAAGGGCAAAAAGAGGGCTTTTGGGGTATTGTGATTCTGTGTGTTGATCGAGGTATTGAGTAGTACATTAGTGTGGTATGTTTGTGAACATTCATTGAGCTGTACACTTATGACCTGTGTAGTTTTCTGAATGCATGTTATACCTCAATATGAAGTTAAAAAAGAAAAGTAAAAAGTTTGTAGTAGTTTAGTTCTGCATATTTGACCTTTCTGTCTAATTGTCCATAATTGTGAATTGAATAAATAAGGACTGGTTAAATTGTGTTATGTTTCTTATATTTCTGGGGAATACAAAGTGGCTGTTTTTGAGAATGAATAATTCCATCTGCACTGACATGAAGCCGTTATTAAATAAATAAAGGAAGTTTCAGAACATATATCCTATTTATGTTAAAATAAATCACTATATACATATCCTTGTATATGCATAGAAAATATCTTGAAGGACACACATTAAATAATTAACAGTGGTTAGCCTTGAGGATTGATTTGTGGGTAATGTGACAAAATGGAGAACCTTGAACTTTTATGTAATTTTTTTTACTGTGAGCATGGGTTACTCTTATGATAAAAGTGAATTAAAAAATACGTGTATTAAATACTATTTTAAAGGCAAATGGATTGGGAGAAGTAATGTTGCTATATCTGATAACATCTCCAAAGTGTGGTTAAAAGAGAAAGAGGAGTTGTGGGAGTAATTAGAGCCCCCTCGAAAAGGTAATATAGATCTATCTTACTCCACCCCAGAGGGTGAGACAAATTTTAATGAGCTTGAATAAACAAAGTGAATGTAGACACTTGATATAAAATGGAACTAAATTGCCTCTGTAACTGTCTTTTAGTTGATCCAGAGTATCAAAAGGAAGCGGAACAGAGACATCGAGAACTGGCAGCTAAAGCTGGAGGATTTAATGACTTTGCAACTTTAGCTGTCATTTTTGAGCAGTGCAAATCAAGGTATGTGAGTTGTCTGTACTGGAAATTGTCGGTTTGAAATATAGCTCCAGTATGTACTTACTATGTGATCTTTAGACCAGTGGTTCTCAACCTTCTGGCCCTTTAAATACAGTTCCTCATGTTTTGACCCAAACATAAAATTATTTTCGTTGCTACTTCATAACTGTAATGTTGCTACTGTTATGAATTGTAATGTAAATATCTGATATGCAGGATGGTCTTAGGCGACCTCTGTGAAAGGGTCGTTCGACTGCCAAAGGGACCACAGGTTGAGAACCACTGCTTTAGACAGATTTGGTCAGGATGATATTGACCTTCAGGTATTTTTGTGAACATTAGTGAGATTCTTCTATGTCAGGTGACTGTTACTTAGTAAGCATTTATTATATAACTAGAGGCCCAGTGCACTGGGGGGATCCCTCAGCCTGGATATGCCCTCTCGCAGTCCGGGACCCCTCGGGGGATGTCCACCTGCCAGCTTAGGCCTGCTCCCCAGGGGATTGGGCCTAAGCTGGCAGTCTGACATCCCTCTGGCAGCCTGGGAGCCCTCAGGGGAGCGGGCCTAAGCCGTTAGTCAGACATCGATAGTGCTGTGGCAGAAGCAGGAGAGGCTCCCACCGCCGCCACTGTGCTGGCCAGCCATGAGCTGGCTTCTGGCTGAGTGGAGCTCCCCCTGTGGAAGCGCACTGACCACCAGGGGGCAGCTCCTGTGTTGAGCGTCTGCCCCCTGGTGGTCAGTGCACGTCATAGTGACTGGTCGTTCTGCTGTTTAGAGTCAATTTGCATATTACCCTTTTATTATATAGGATATTAGTGTGTTTTTTCTCTCCCTGAACCTTTCCTGAAAATGACCTTATAGAATTTTGGTTCTATATAAGTAGCTTAGATGAGAAAAGATTGGCTATTTGTTAAAGCATATGTGTGTAAAATATCCATTTACAAAGAATTTTTAATTCACTCAGAGGCACCCACATTTAATTTTTTTTCAAATTCCTTAAAGTGCTCTTTCTTTCTTTCTTTTTTTTTTTTTTTTTTTTTTTTTTAGAAAAAGAGGGAGGGAGAGAGATGTAGAGAGATAGAAACATCGATGAGAGAGGAATATCATCGTTTGGCTGCCTCCTGCACAGCCCACACTGGGGATTGAGCCTACAACTGAGATACATGCCCTTGACCAGAATCAAACCCGGGACCCTTCAGACCACAGGCCGACACTCTATCCACTGAGCCAAACTGGCTAGGGCTAAAGTGCTTTTTCAGTAATTAGATATATCTCATAAAAGAGCTGACAGTTGCTTTTGGGTTTCTAGTTTTGTAATAGAAATGAGGATGTTAGACTGTCTTTCACTTATAGAAGATATTCTCAAGATACTGTTATTTTTGTTTTTCAGTGGAGCTCCAGCTTCCTGGTGCCAAAAACATTGGATTCATTGGAGGTGCTTATTTTCTGCATTTCGTGTTGAAGCTCAACTTCGAGACCTAATCAGGAAGCTTAAACAGGTGATTGCTTTTTTTCTTGAGTAGCATTTGGACAAGACCCTCTGAGTTACCCAAACCATGTAAATTATGAGATGTTCTAGTCTGGCTTGTAGTAACAGGCGCCATTCCTAACCCTGTGTGAGCACCAAGCATTGTAACCTCTTATCCTGGAGGTCCTTTACCTGGCCTTGGTTAGTTTCCTCACATTCATGTGCTAATCAGCACTCAGCTGAACACAGATCTCTGGAGTTCTCTATAAAGGTCTCTTCTCTCCTGAACTCTGCCTTTGAACTCCAGTCATTTTGGTCTTCCTGTATTCTCAGCTCTGTCTCTTTACCTCAGGGAGTTTTCCGGATTCCACTTGGGTTTTTCCTTCTCTGCACCTTGATCCAGAATCTCTTTCAAGGTTGACAATGCTGGGGTGCTTGTTGGGTTTACTTAATTTATTTCCCTTTATTTTAATTTTAATGATTTATTGGTGACATTGGTAAGTAAAATTATATCTTGTTGTATTGCTCCCTTTATCTTATGAACTATCCTTCTTTGTCTCTTATTATATCTTTCATTTTAAAGTCTATTTGGTCACATATTAAATATTGCAATCCCAGGTTTTTTTTTCCATTTTCATTTGCAAGAAATATCTTTGCCATCCTTTTACTTTTATTCTGTATATTTTGTTCTGAGGTGGGTCTCTTGTAGACAGCATATATATGGGTCTTGTTTTCTTATCCATTCAGCTACCCTATGTTTTTTGATTGGAGCATTTAAGCCATTTACATTTAATTAAAGTGATTATTGGTAGGTATGTATTTATTGCCATTCTTTAACATTTTTTTTAATCTTCACCCAAGGATATGTGTATGTGTGTGTGTGTGTGTGTGTGTGTGTGTGTGTTAATTGGTTTTAGAGAGAGGAAGTGGGGGCGGGGGGGGAGAGAGAGGGAGAGGGAGAGAGAAACCTTAATGTGAGAGGGAAACATCAATCAGTTGCCTCCTTTATATACCCCAACCTGGGACCAAACTCAAAACCTAAGTGTGTGCCCTGACTGGGAATCAAATTTGCAACCTTGTGGCATTTGGGACAATGTTCCAACTAACCGAGCCACCCAGCCAGGGCCTTTTAACATTTCTTCTAATACTGGTTTGGTGGTAACGAATTCTTTTAGCTTTTGTTGTTGTTTTGTCTGGAAAGCTCGTTATTTATCCTTCAATTTTAAATGATAGTCTTGTTGGGAAAAATAATCTTAGTTGTAGGCCCTTGTTTTTCATCACTTTGAATATTTCATGCCAGTCCCTTCTGGCCTGAAATGTTTCTGTTGAGAAATTAGCTGACAGTCTTATGGGAGCTCCCTTGTAGGTAACTGACTTTCTCTTGCTGCTTTTAAGATTCTCTCTTTGTCTTTAACCTTTGCCATTTTAATTATGATGTGTCTTGGTATGGGCCCATTTGGGTTCATCTCTTTTGAGACTCTTCCTTTATTTCTTGGAGATCATTATTCCTTATCACTTGGTATATGTACAGTATTTTAAAAGTCCCTATTTTGGTTGTTTCAAGCAGAAGAGTAAATCTGGTCCTTCTTACTCCATATTGGCCAGAAACAGAATTTTTAGAAATGTGGATTTTTCAAAATAAAAGAATATTTTAAATTGTTCTATGAGATTTACCATTGTGTGTGTGTGTATATATATATATATGTGTGTGTGTGTGTATATATGTGTGAGTGTATGTATATGTGTGTGTATATATATGTGTGTGTGTGTATGTGTGTGTATATATATGTGTGTGTGTGTGTATATATATATATGTTCTATATTCTTTCTATAGCAAAGTGATTTTCCAAGAGAGACCTTTGAAGGCCCTAAACATGAAGTACTACGAAGATGTCTTTGTGCAGGCTATTTCAAAAATGTAGCTCGAAGGTAAGCAATATGAGCTTGGGAGATGGGTAAAGAAGAGCTCGTATATTTGACTACAATATTGAACTATTTAATATTAAAGATTGATGATTTGATTTAAGCTCTGTGATTATGATCAGCTATTACAGTTACCCTTTTCATAATTGTGACTTGTGCACGGAAAGCTGCAGTGGCTCAGAGTGGGATACTGGAACTCGAGTGGGGCAGTAGGGGTGTCTGAAGGACAGCTGTCCAGCATGGGTATCAGTGCCTTAGCAGAGTGACAAGGCTTTTTATTACAGAGGCGTTGCTCTGTGTAGGGTGTGAAAGCCAAAAGTTTGAGGATGACATCCCTAAAGGGTAGGTTGGTGTGGAGTGCGAGGGCTTGAGTAGGATGGAGTATTGAGTGTTAAGAGTGAGGAGGGCATTTTTGTAAGGAAAGGGATAACAGTGTTGGTGATGGGAGATTGATTCATTGTATACAGAGAAATTGAGCACATAAATATTAATAATGGTAAAAGGAGTTGGAAGTACTGAAAGGGAGAAAATGAGAATGAGCTCTGTGGTGTTGGGTTGGATCTTCAGGATATCATTGTGAACTTTGTTTTTTAAAATAGCTGGATGGATAGATAGATAGGGAAATAAAAATGGATGTTACTGTGAATATATATAAAACATGTATTTGTATGTGTGTAAATACTTATATACATATGTACCCTATCTCTGAGATGGACTGGGAGCAATGACACCATAATGCCCAGATCTTGACTTGGAAAAAACCATCTGCTACATGATGGACTTGCGCCTCTATGGAGAAATAGGGCCAGGAGAGTACAAGATGAACCTAGGACATCTTATTTTGCCAGTGAGCAAAGAAGTGATCAGTGAAGGTTGAGGCCATGTCAGAAGTACACAGGAGCCAGCTTGAATAGACTCCAACTGATCAAATATGGAACATTTTGAGCATCAAAATAAATGAAAGTAATGGTTGATATAACCCACTGAATAAAATGTGAAGTCATGGGTCTATGGTCATATAAATTAGTAAATTAATAAATTAAAAGTTTAAGGACAAATGGAATTATTTGCATAGTTGAGCATCTCTATAAAAGTCTTATTAATTACAAAGGAAAAAGTAATTTTTCAGTGGAAAGGCCTGGCAGATACTACCTAAGTTAAACAATCAAAGTGAACATTATTATTTCTGAAACAAATCAAAATCATGTTTTCTGATAGGCTATAATAAACACAATGTCACTTCTTTGATATTCCTGCCAAAGATGCATAACCTGAATCTAATCATTCTGAAACAAACAAACTCACATTGATTATAACTAGCCTATAATCTTTAAAGGTGTCAGGATTATGAAGGTCAGAGAAAGACTGGGGAAGTATTCCAGAATGAAGGAGACTAACGAGACATTAAAAGTAAAAGCAATACCTGATTTCTGAACTAGATCCTTTTGCTATAAATGATACTAGATCATTTGATAAAACTTCAGTGGGGGCTGAGGATTAAATGTTAGGAATATATTAGTGTTAATTCCCTGGTTTTGTTGGATGTATTATGATTATGTAGATGAATGTCCTTGGTTATAGGGAATGCAAACTCAGGTATTTGGGAATGATGGGGCATAAAGTTGGCACTAATTCTCAAAATGGTTCAAGTAAAAAATATTTTTGTACTGTATAAATATTCACTGTACTATACAGATATATAAAATAATTATAATGCTGTCTGATCTGGGTTATAATAGGAATACATATAATGTAGTATAGGAAATAAATTGTAATGACAATTGACCTAGGGCTGTTATATTGACAAGTTTTTGGAATAACATTTATGTAAGAAAGTGTAGAAGAGGATAAGAATTTGAAATTAAGAACATGAATTAGAAAAATTCATGAAATGTTCTAATTATCAGATTTTAGGATACTGAAAATAATTTATATCTTTAAAAAGAGATATAAATAACACTGTGTTTAAATCAGAAGACCTATGATTGGGACTTGCTTTTACCATACATTAGCTCTGTGACCTCTAGAAGGCTAGCTAACTTTTTTTGAAATCTCACTTTTGACCTTAAAGTGATTGGCTCTCAAAACTCAGGTTGTTTTGAGCCTTTATTATGAAAGTATTTTGGAAAATCTAAAGCACAAATACAATATTATTGCCCGGCCTGTTTGGCTCAGTGATTGAGCGTTGACCTATGAACCAGGAGGTCATGGTTTGATTCCCTGTCAGTACATACCTGGGTTTCAGGCTAGATCCCCAGTGCGGGGCATTGAGGAGGCAACCAATCAAAGATTCTCTCTCATCATTGATGTCTCTGTCTCTCTCTCCCTCTCCCATCCTCTCTGAAATAAATAAAAAATGTTTTTAAAAAATACACAAATAAAATATTATTGTTAATATTACTTGTTAACCAAAAGTGTTTATACTTAAATGACTCAGTTGTATCATACATAGTTTAAAATGAATTGGTAGAGAAGTAATAGTGACAGTTGAATAAACTTAAACCTCTGTTTATGGTACTCTATGTAGCAGAACATATAACTATTCATTGACTCAATGCCCTACTGATGTCTTTGTTGTACTGTCAGTGTCTTTATCCTTTCTTTTTGTTTCTGTTTTGTTTTTAGATCTGTTGGGAGAACGTTTTGCACAATGGATGGGCGTGGGAGCCCAGTTCACATTCATCCTTCCTCAGCAGTAAGTATCTTATTTTTAATAAAGAGAAGAAATTTATAAAGGTGTAAGATTAAGTGATATACAGATGTCTTCTACTTTTTGCTTTGAGGTTAAGTTTATAATATAACTATGTTACATAAAGCTGTCAAGGTATTGAGTTGGTCTCTATCCTGATTGAAGCATATAGGGATTAATTCAGAAGAGTTTGGGCTAATAGTATTTGGTTGGTCTAATGTGGAATAAGGCATTTTATTGAGTTATCATCTCTAAGTGAGTTCTTTTGTACAGCTTCACGAACAGGAAACCAAACTTGAATGGATCATTTTTCATGAGGTATTAGTTACCACCAAAGTCTACGCAAGAATTGTGTGTCCAATTCGCTATGAATGGGTGAGAGACTTATTACCCAAGTTGCATGAATTTAATGCACAAGACTTGAGCAGCGTGGCCCGACGTGAAGCAAGAGAAGATGCAAGAAGGAGATGGACAAATAAGGAAAACGTAAAACATCTGAAGGGTGAGTATATCACTTGTTCTGGTTATATAGTCCAGGAAACATAAATGTCCAAATTCTTATGTAATTACAGAAATATTGTTACAGACTTACATTCTGGCTCTATCTACTCAGAAAGCAAAGAATTATCATTAGTCTTAGACTTCGTTATTTTGATTTCCTTCTGTTTTTTTTTTTGTTTTTTTTTTAATATATTTTATTGATTTTTTACAGAGAGGAAGGGAGAGAGAGAGTTAGAAACATCGATGAGAGAGAAACATCGATCAGCCGCCTCCTGCACATCTCCTACTGGGGATGTGCCCGCAACCCAGGTACATGCCCTTGACCGGAATCGAACCTGGGACCCCTCAGTCCGCAGGCCGACGCTCTATCCACTGAGCCAAACTGGTTTCGGCTCCTTCTGTTTTTTTTTTAACCTCTCTGTCCAATAGCATTGTTAATAAGAATATATATTGAGTTTTTATCATATGCTAAAAGCTTGCATTACCCCATTAGGGAATTTTCATAATAACATATGGTAAGTAAATATCCCCACTTTATATATGAAGAAGTACTTAGCAGTGTACAATACTTTGCTAAAAATCCCATAGCTCATAATTGGTGAATCTGGATTCTGAATCAAGTAACCTGATTCTATGGTCCTTACTCTTAGCTATTATGCCATACTGCTTCCCAGTAGTACTTTACTATTTTTATTTGGTTTATAAAATTTTGTGAGTTATTTCCTCAGAACATCTCTTTTTTATTTTTCCGTGAAATAGGTTCCTAATTGGGAGGCATAAACAGCGTGGTACTGAACTAGGACAGAAAGCTTAATTCTACTTAGTTCACACATACAAAAAGCTTTTCATTTCAGTAAAGCTTTCTGAGGCTGATTGATGGAACAAGTTATATTATCCTTATTTAACATCACTGAGAAATGAAATGGTGAGGAATTTGCCCAAGATGATAGAATAGTCTTTTTAGTAACATTAGACACTAGACGTTTTGTTGCAGTGTATAACTGTAGTGTATAAATGCTTGAATAGGGCCAGTTTTTCTGACTGCTTCGGCCTCCGTGCTCTTGTTTTTTAGCCATAGACTGTATCGGTTTTTTTGAAAGGGCAGAATTTAATTTAATTTTACCTAAACATTGAAAATTAGGGCATCTCTTTCTCTTAACCTTTCTAGCACTGAATCTCAAAATTCAAGTTTTACTGGATTAATTTGTAATATTTTCAGATGGAATATCAAAAGAAGTCCTAAAGAAAATGCAAAGGAGAAATGACGATAAATCCATATCAGATGCACGAGCTCGTTTCCTTGAGAGAAAGCAGCAGAGGTCCCAGGATCACAGTGACACACTGAAGGGAACAGGCTAAGCAGTGAACCCTCCAATTCAGGAAGTAGGAAAAGCAGCCAAGAAATGTGCTTCTACTACCATTTATGTAAGACAGCACTACCAAGATGAAGTGGTCAGCAGTTGTTTTTAGCATACGGGCGAAAAGCAAATCAAACTCATTAATACTAATGGATGCAATTTTCAGAGAAGATTGGGTTGCCATAGTCATAGGCAATGATATATGAAACCAATGAAAGACAATACCTGTGATATTTTTCTCACTTCAATTTTGCTGGCCTTAACTAGTATCAAATGCTGTTGTTGAGATATTTTCAAAGAACATTGAATTTTATGTAATCAGTGTGTATTCCATTTACATTGAAGCATTAAAAAATTATTTTCCTTAAATCTCTTCAAGGCCTTCTTTTGCTATGAGAATAGTATTATATCAGGCTATCAGGTATGTGACCATTTCCTTCAGAAGGCTGAACATAAGAGGTTTTTATTCGGCAATATTTAGATGTCTGTTTAATTGCTAAAGAGCTTTATAGATATTTAGAGAAAAGACTTAACTAGTAAATAAAAAAATTGCCTATGGCAGTATTCTTTGTTGAATTAATATTAATCCTTAAATTGATTTTTCTGGGATTATATAAATTCCTTTTTATATAAAAGTATATTGTTTAAAACAGTAGCTATAGCCATTAACCAAAGGACAGATGATATATGTATATGTTCTTTTTGTAGCTGCCTCTACATACTTGTATCAGCATCATGTATGTAAGTTGTGACAGTGTTTTCAAACAGCTCTTACACCTGGCCTACTCTCTTGCCTCCAGCTGCTTGGGTAGGACCATTTAAACATCTATTATGCTGTATTGAAATGGGATTTTCAAAGCAGCCAACATTACATCACCAGTGTTTCAAATTGGAACCTTGAGGCTAATATCACACTCAGGCCATATTCAACACCTGCCCACTCTATTGTTTACTGTCTTGTATTCTAGTTATTTGTGTATTTGTCTTTCTCCCACTAGATTATTTGCTCTTTGTGGGCAGGAACTATGTCTTTTTCATCTTTGTATCTTTCATGGCACCTAGCACACTGCTTTGCACATAGTATTCGCTCAATGTTTGTTGAATAAAGCTATTAGTTTATTTAAAATTCAAAAGGCAATATAATGTGTGTTTTTAGAATTTTTCGTAAAAAATAAGAATCTAAATTGTTTATTGGTAACTAACACTTCTGCAGTTAGTTTTTTGTCAATATTAGAGACTTGAAGTCTTTATTGAAAAATCACATGAGGACCCAAATCCATGTGTTTGTTCTTGAAGTAAGGTGAGTGGTGACAGTTTCTATGAACATTCCCCGCATTATTAATTTATTTTCATCTTAAGTGCCCTCTAGTGTTTTAGCATGTTAGTCCTATCAGTTCCCCTTGTCAGGTTTATGTATTGGTGCATTCCTTCAATGTGGTAGGGGTGTATGTGGATTCTTAGAATAAAAGCTCTTTTATTTCTGTAAATTAAGCACACATTAAGTTAAGCACACGTTCTTAATCTATAGTCCATTCCGAAATTTCATTAGTTCTAATAATGTTCTTTATGTTTTCCTAATTCAGGATTTAATGTCTTTTAATCTGGAAAAGGTCCTTAGTCTTTGTCTTTTACATTTATCAATCTTTTCCTTTTTCTTTTGTTGCATTGGACATTTTCAGATAACATTTTGACATTTTAAAATAATACAGAATAGTTATTTTATAGAATGTTCTCAATTTGCGTTTCTCTTAAGACATCAAATTTGGTGGCACATGGTATTTGCCCCTTATTGATATTTTGATTAGTTGGTTAGGGTGGTTTTTTTTTAAATTTCTTCAGTAAGTAATTTGGAGGAGGGATACTTTGAAATAGCCTGTTCCTCATAAAGTATCACCTTTTGGATTTATCATCAACTGATGATTCTTGCCTGAATCAGTTTTATTATTTCTATGGTTACAAAATGGTGATCCTCCCCCGCTCCCACCAATTCTTTGCTATATTTATTTGTTATATTGTAAGGAAGAGCTTTCCTTGAAGAAGAATGTCTGATAAACAGATGGGTGCTAGAGAGCATAGCTCAGGACAGAGAATTAGAAAGCTAAGGGGATATTTGAGAGAGATGGCAAATAGTCCAGTTTGTTTGGTGCATAGAGTATATATAGGAGTTATAGGCTGAAAATGTTGGTCGAGGACAGATTATATGGAAGGCTTTGAAAGCCATACTATGGAATTTGGACATTTTTGTGCTATATAAATTTATTGGAGGGGAGTGACATCATTACAGCTTTAAGGTGTATTTGTGGCAGTGGTGCCCATAAGAGGAATTTACAGTATTTCTTTGAGAGGAATAATACTGGATCTAGTTGAGAAGGTGGAAGGAGCCTTGGAGGAAAGGTAGTGGTTATGAAGAAGTTTGTTTTTAAAAGAATATAGAGGATTCACCTTAAAATTACTAAATAAAACAAAACAAGAAACAAATGAAGACAAATGTTATCATAGAAAATTGGGCAAAGGATCCGGTCTGCCATTTCATAAAAGAAGAAACGTGAACGGTCAACGAATAAGTTCCTGAATCTTCCTAGTAATTAGGGAAATGCAGTTGAAAATAACAGATGCCATTCTTTTTCATCAGATTGGCAACAATAATATGCCTGAAAAGTGTTGACATAGAATAAATTGTTCTTTTTTTAGAGAACATTTTTGGTAATACGTAGTAAAGTTGAAGATGTGCTTAACCTGTGACCCAGAAAACCCACCTTGAGATTTATATCCTAGGAACTCAGAGATTATATAAAAATACTCTATTCCTCATAAAATGTTAACTCCCATAGATTTAACATCAGTTGATTTATAAAAATGTTATGTATGCCATTGTTTCTAATAGTAAAATATGGAACAGTGGATATAGCTATCAATAGGAAAATGGTTGAATAAATTGTGTTACGTTCTTATGGTTGAATTCTTTACAGCGTGCGTGAAAGTGATCTTTGAGACTCCTGATGCTTTGCAGAATAAATGAACCAGTTTACATTCCTAACAGCAATGTAATAAAGTGCCTATCTTATTGTAGCCTTGTAGTTCCTAATATTCTTTTATTGATAGACCAAAACAGGTGCCTCATTATTATGTTAACTTACATATTTAAATATTCAAGTCTTTCCTTATATTCAAATTGTGTACAGGAAATAAAATAGACTCATTTGAATTAGATAAGGCCAGATAGTAAGTATTTTAAGCTTTCGGGCCATACAGTCTTTGTTGCAACTACTCAGTTGTTGTAGTATAAAAGCAGTCATGGATAATACATAAACAAATGGATATGTCTGTGTTCTAATAAAACTTTATTTATGGACAATGAAATTTTAATTTCATATAATTTTCACGTCAGGAAATAGTCTATTTTTTTTTAAACACTTGCACTCTAATCCAGGGAAGCAACTTTTCACATACCTATTCTGATTAAAATGATTTCATTTGAAAGAAAATATTTCAATTACTATTTACAAGAAAAGATCTTAATTTCGTGAAATATCTGAGACTCTTCTGGTTTTTACTTTTTCTTCAAAGCAGAGCTGATGGGATTGAGCATAACATAAATCAGTAAGTTAAAATTTATTCTCCCAAAGATTTTCAAAATAATCTGTATTACTTGTTGTTTCTTTAACCTTAAAATATGAATAATACAAAACTTTCTTGTGAAGCTTTTAAAAAAATTTCAAAGAAAATCACATTACTTGTTCAGATAAAATCTTCATGTTTCTTAACCTGATTTTACTTGGTCCTCAGCTAAAAAGTAGGAAATGTGATGGGTTAACCCAAAATATAACCTGGCACCCAGTTTGGTGCTTTTTGTATATAGTGGTATTTATAAATGATTGTTGTGCTCATTCCAGGTGTGATTGTTAACAACCTAAGTTAGTCTAGGCTTCAAAATAAATAGGTTGTATAGTCAGTAAATGTTACTAGCTTAAGAAGTAGGGTAAATAGATTTTAAACTGAGTTTTTAAGGAAAAGTAGGACTTGGACTACAACAAGGAGACAATTTTTGTGGCTGGGAAAAGAAATCAAACGGTGGAAAGACTGTCACCTGGAGAAGGGCTTTTAAAAATATATATATATATATATATATATATATATATTTTTTCTTTTAATTGATTTTTTACAGAGAGGAAGGGAGAGGGATAGAGAGTTAGAAACATCGATGAGTGAGAAACATCGATCAGCTGCCTCCTGCACACGCCCCACTGGGCTTGTGCCCGCAACTAAGGTACATGCCCTTGACTGGAATCGAACCTGGGACCCTTGAGTCCACAGGCTGACGCTCTATCCACTGAGCCAAACCGGTTAGGACAAGAAGAGCTTTTTTAAAAAAAGGATTTTGCAGTTTCTAGTCTGTAATCTGGGATAACACTAAGTAGGTCAAATGAAGAATAATTTGCCACTCATTCTTGCAGGTAGAAAAATATGAAAGTCAGCTTGGTCGGGGTTATCCTTTTGTAGTGTGCAGCCCTTAAAAACTGCCATTGTGTGCCCACCTGCTACTCCATTTAATCCCTGTTCCTCAAGAAATGGCAGTTTTTAAGCCCTCAATGAGGAATGTAACCTCATCTATATTTTAACTAGTCTGAAAATATAGAGATGGTTAAGGGCTGCCTTTATCAGGTTTTTATTTTCACCCTATGAAAGCTTTGAGTGGCTGGCATATCTAACTTGAAGAGATTAGGTGCTAACAGTGTTGGCTCAGGAAAGAAAAATAAAATTTAAATCAATAAGTATGAGGTAGGTTCATGAATGCTACGTATTTTTCATTACTGTAGTGTTATGGACGGAATAGTAGTTGTATGGTTGTATACTGTACAACATTAAAGTCACAATTATTTGGAATAAGAGCAACCAGGAACATGCTCAATCCTGACACAGAATAAAGATTCACTAGATCTTATTGCCATCCATGATACATTATAAAATTTGTCTGTATAAATTAGGTTTAGGACAAGCCTGAGTGAGTGATTATTAAGTATAAGTTCAGATCCATTTCATTCTAAAAAACACTATGAAAAAAAATTTTTTTTCTTGCCTTATGTTTCTTTTTGGGTGAGTTTTGCCTATAATCAGTGCTTTGTACAGGCACACTTACTGGGTGTTTGATGTGTGCTGCTCTTTATTTAATCCTGCTGGGATTCTTAGCAGAGCCCGAGGGGGGGTTGAGAGGTTTCAAAGCTGCCGTTTAAAGGTCGAAACCAGTTATCTTACTTGGGTAAAGCTAAAGTATATCCTGTTTGGTTTCAATAAAATCTGAATTTTAAATATTTGTTAGGTATAATGGGTTAGGTTTAAAGTCTGCTTTAATCTCTGTTTGAGAACTGCCTTTGTGGCTGGCTTTTGCAATACAACTAGCTCAGGCCATTTTCAAAAGGTCAAGTTAATTCTGGGGCTGCTTGAAAATGAACAACTACAGAGGAATCTTCTATAATAAAAAGTTTTTCTGAGGTCTCATTCTTTTTAAAAAAATATATATTTTTATTGATTTCAGAGAGGAAGGGAGAGGGAGAGAGAGAAACATCAATGATGAGAATCATTGATCAACTGCATCCTGCAGGAACCCCTACTGGGGATGGATCAAGCCTTCAACTCGGGCGTGTTCCCTTGACCAGAATCAAACCTGAGACTCTTCAGTCTGTAGGCTGAAGCTCTGTCCACTGAGCCAAACCGCTTAGGGCTGAGGTGTCATTCTTGTTGGAGATATTCATGTATATATCATAGTTACCGGCAGAAAATATAAAGTAGGGGCACAGTAAAGGTTTCTTGTATAGGTTTTGAGAAACTAGCACTCCTCAAAATAGCAGATGACCAATGCAGTTTTTGCTAATGGTACTTGCTGTCACCCTATACTACTGAACACTATTGCTAAAAAATAGCTTCAAATGGAAAGAACTTGACCATTTATTTTATAAACACAGCTACCTTACTAAAATATTTTCTGAAACCCAAAGCCAGGATAATATACATATTTATAGCACTAGTCTTATTAAAAGACTTTATCATAGGGAAAAAAATAAACCCAGCATTTGTTTCCTGATTATTAGGTTATCTTCTCTAACTTAAGGTAGTGCCTTATCCAGTAGTTCAGTTACTGCT